TGTTCTACGGCTTTGACAATAGCGAGCAACTCTTTCCTGGTGACACAGTAAGTTTTGTCCGGTTTAGACAAGCACTTGCTCCAGTACTCCACTACATGTTTTTGGCCGTCTATTTCTTGGGACAAAACACTTTCATTGCTTGCGTCCATGTCGAGAATAAATGGTCTGTCGAGCTGAAGATACGTCAGGATCGGACAAAATGTTAAAGCTTCCTTTAAGTTGTTAAATGCATCCTTGCATTCTTTTGTCCACAAGAACTTTTGCTTGCTCTCTGTCAGCTTGGGAAGGGGGTCTTGCGATGGAAGAAAAATCCTTCACGAATCTCCTATAGTAGGTGCAAAGCCCTAGGAAGCTTCTCAGGTGAACATTCTCGGGACGTTTCCTCTAACGGCTGACACTTTTTCAGGATCCTGCACACACCTTCGGGAAGCATTCGAGGTAAGTCACTTCCTGCTGATTAATTTGATTTAGCGGGCTCAACTTTAGATTGGATTCTTTTAGTTCTTGAAGCAGCTTTCTAAGATGCAGATGTTTTCAAAACTCTTTCTGACCATGATGATGTCGTCCAGGTATATCAGACAGACTTCGTAGGAAAGACCTTTCAAAACAGTCTCCATGAGGCGTTCAAATATTGACGGCGCATACATAGTCTAAACAGCATCACTTTGAATTGCCAAAAGCTTGTCCCGTAATAAATGCCGTCTTTTCTCGGTCATCAGGATGTATTTCTACCTGCCAATACCCACTCTTTAAATCAAGTGTTGAGAACCACTTGCTTCCAGAAAGAGTATCTAGAATGTCGCCAACTCTAGGAAGAGGGTAACTGTCTTTCTTTGTAACCTCATCCAAGCGGCGATAGTCAACGAAAAATCTTTTTGAGCCATCTTTCTTTTTGAAGATGTCGATGGGAGATGTCCATGGACTTGCTGAAGGCTCGTTGATATCGCTTTATAGCATGTTTTTTAAATGTGTTTTGACCTCTTCCTGTTTAGCAATCGGTAGACGTTTTGGATGTTGCTTGATCGAGGAATGATCGCCGGTATCGATTCTGTGTTATGTCAAATTGGTTCGACCCACATCAGAAGACGAGCGGGAAAAACGTCTTGAAGATCTTCAATTACACGATCGGCAGCATTCCTCTGTTCATCGTTTAGTTGCGCATTCTGCAATAACGGCTAATGTAATTTAAGGACCATTCGACGGCTAATGTAATTTAAGGACCAAGTGTAAGTCGGCTAAGCTTCAACATTTAATGTACATAACTATTATTTTGTAAGGTTATAAAATATTTCTCCCGCCTTCTTAGCATGCCTTCGTAGTATAGCGGTTTGCACACTGGGCGCGTATTCCAGAGGTCCGTGGTTCGATTCCCGGAGAAGATGTTGCTCATTTTTCATCTCTCTTGCCTCAAAATAACCTAAAGTTTCTAGAGTGGGGCCCGGACTAAAAGGTGGCGAATGATGATTCTCCTCCACCAGGATTTGGCGACTGGGACTCCTAATACCCAGTCACCCTTTAAAAGGGGGTATATAAGGTATTTCTCCCGCCTTCTTAGCATGCCTTCGTAGTGTGGTGGTCTGCACGCTGGGTGCGTATTCCAGAGGTCCGTGGTTCGATTCCCGGCGAGGACGTTGCTCATTTTTAATCACTCCCGCTTAAGAAATAAACTAAAGACTCTACAAGGTGTATGTTAATTTTATCAGTTATTTTTAATTTCGAAACAATTTCCTTTAAATTCTTGTTTCCCACTTACAACTCTCTACCAGAATGATTTTTTAGAATCGCGTTGAATGCAAATGAGTTAGAAGTAGTATTTAAAGGAAGCTCAACTAACTTCGAAAAAGAGAATGCTTATGAATCCTTAGTGATCCTTAGTGGCGCGTGTTTGCCTTCTGGCTACTTCATCTTTGAATCTATTATACGCTCGTCCGTACTGGACGTGACTGTTGATATTCGACGGCTAATGTAATTTAAGGACCAAGTGTAAGTCGGCTAAGCCTATTTTAGTTAATATTAGATTAGTTTCTCAGTTTCGTACCCTGATTTAAAAGCCCGAGTGGAGGCTTTCCTGAAAGCCCAAAAAGGGGCCATCTGTTATTATTTTAGTAAATAAAAGGATATTTTAACCCTTCTCGAGTCTACGTTGTAATTGCATGAACACGGTGGTAAATCGCTACTCAGGTCACTAGACATTTTATCATAGACAAAGTAATAAATAATATTACAATTTCATGCCATTAATTTCTTCGATAGAAACAGAAAATAAAATGAAGGTACTTATATTTAATTTTTAGTCTTTAAGGATTAAGTAATACGATGATTTATGTGATTTAATTAATATTTTCCAGTGATCAATGGAAACATTGTTCTCATGGTACTTTTATCAAGTTTTGTGTCGTAGATCATGAGATAAAGGGGTTTTAAAAAATGTAAATAATATTGGGATAGATGATTGGGAAGAAAGGAAATTGCATAAGACAATAACATTTCAAAATTTTCAGATTTCTAAGTTTAATTAAGCAGCAACAACAGTTATTACAGCATTAAACCAATTAAGCAGTTATTACAACATTAAGCCAAAGAGAATTAACATAGCAATAGTTTATTATTTGCACATTCTTAAACAGAAGCTTGACATTAACATATGCTGTAATTTCATAAGGTACACACAGCTGTAATTTCATAAGGATTCTTAAATATTTGCTTTTATGGTATTTTCCGATTATCCTTTCCTCGTATGAAAAGTCTTATTTATGAAATGATATTTTCGTATGAAAGAACTTATTTCTAGCTTTGTGAGATATTTGTTTGGTTATCTTCGCGGGGCATAGGTACTGTTTTATTTATAAATAATAAAGAGCAGCATTTCATAAAAAAATAAGAAATTTTATAAGAAAAATTAAAAATTGCCATTTTATAGTTTGTACTTACTTTAATGATGACTTAATATACCATGCATACTGTAATGATGGTTAACTTTACTAAGTGTACTCAAACATATAGATTAATATGCTTGCGTGGGCTTGCTGCTGTGATGGATACACATAGATACTGACAGAAAAGTTATTTAGATATTATTGCTGAATAGCACAGTAGGAACGATTTAATGGAGAACTTTTCATCGAAATTAACTGCTCATAGGAAAAAGGGTCAACTAATTTGTCAAGAAACAGATCCAACACAAACCGGCCCCACCAGCGGCCGAGCGGTAAAGTCGCTCTGAACACTGGTAGTTCGGTCCGAGGTTCGAATCCCGCGAACGGGCTGGCTGCATGGGCGTTTTCGTGTTTTTCCCCATGTGTAACGTGTATACGAGCCAGTTTCCCTTAGAAAATCCTCCACGAAGCCATCCCTCCCCTTAGGCAGATAGCCCTAGTGTGCTTTGCCGTAATTAAATAAACCAAAACCAAAACAAACCGGCATGTTCAAGTGCCTTACCCATTAGAATACTGAGAAGAAACTGTTAGTCGGAGGAGCTTTCAATATACTTAAACACTTTTAATTTAACATTACATATATGTGCGTGCTTGTTTGTTGGGGTGAATAAGTTTTACCATATACGGATTCTTTAAACTAGATAAACTAGTATTAAAATATTTTAAAATAAATTCAAAACTGAATGTTCTTTCACATTTTTAATATTTTGTTATCCTTAGTGGAAACAAATTGTATAGATTTTAATGTCCTTTAACATAAACTAAGTCCAAACTCCTAACGGACCTGGAGCAAATTATCGCTTAGTCTGAAAAGACAAACAAAATTTTAAGATGGTTTATTTTTTGAAGTAAACCTTTTTATTAAATATCGTGCTGGACAGTTTAGCCAACCACTTGTGGTGTTGTAGCTTAAAGTAACAGTGAATTTCAAAATATAAAACTAAGCCTAATAGCCAACGACTACATAATTGATTTAACGCGAAGGTTGGTTCAAACTTCTCACCGGCGTAACAATTTAAATGGAAGCAACTATGATGCAAAGTCGAAGAATTTAAAGTAGCAGTTCTTGCTTAAAAATATTTGGAGAATTTGATGCTAAAGGCATATATTTTGGTTTGCATTGTCATCAAAGCTCACGAGTTTAATCATTAGCTAATAAATTTATCATGGCATGAATTTCAATAATCAGAAGGGAAAGGTTCGGCAGGACTTTCGCAGGTAGTTTTCGAAGATTTGCCTTCATTAGTAAAATGAAAATAATCACTATGTGAACGACATTTTAAAATTTAAGGGAGCTCGTTCTGCGAACGCATCGAGGAAGGGAAAAATTACGCGCATATTTTTTAAGATTTCAGAATTGGGTGCTAAAAAAGGGGGGAAAGCTAGGGGAGAAAATACGATATGTTATATTAGAAAAGGCGAATGTGTGTGACGTGGACGCAGTCAGCTGATCAACGTCAAAGGGATTCTCTTTTTCCCTCCTTTCCTTTCGCAACGTAAAGCCATGAACGAATTTTTCTCTATCTGCGGAAAAATGTTAGGTTTCGTTATTTAGCCCTGTTTGTGCCGCCATTTATTACTACGTTTTTGTTAAAGCAAAGGCAAGTTTTCCCCATTTAAACATTAATGTGGTTTAATGAGTTTTTACCCGAAACATTGCCTAGAGTGCAGATTTTGATTAATTGCCTGGGTTGATTTTTTTTTTTTTTTTTTTTAACCTTTCTGTTCATTGTTGCGCAAAGTTTGAGTTTTGTTGGAAAAATGAAACAGTAAAATATTTGAACCACTTTCATTTATATTTAATAATATTTGTTTATTATTTAATTTTGTTTAATCTTATCGCCAAGTCCCAAACTGTATTATATACAACTTTAAAGTTGGATTTATTCTGGAAAATTAAAATTAATTTTTCTCATTTCCATGCAATTCATATTATAAGGATTTTCACGCGTTTACTTCTTCGGAGATAACCGGAGCGTTAGTAGTTGACGAAAAATATTCAAATACACTTCCAGTTTTGTCCTCCATTGGCTCTTCCGACACAGCGTTTGTCCTTGACTGGTAATCCTACGGTATTACTGCAAGCGAGTGCATTTGTGGCCTTGCGTCACCTTGAGCTCAGTAAATGAAACAGGAAATGCAGTGTTGCTTCTGCAAAAGGCGATCATAAGGAACAGTCAAATCAAGCTACTAATGAAATCAAACCTTCAAGGACATATGGTACGTCTCCTAAGTTTATTTCTATTACCAGTAACATTGTTTAACATCTTAACTTTCTTTGTATTATAATTTAATGTGATACGAATAGTTATTATTCATTTTTTGAAGTCTAGCGAATTCTTAGTGTACGTCTCGTAGCGCCATCTGCAGGAAATAAATGGAAGTCTTATGTGGTTTGTAATGTATTACTTCGTATTCTACTGACAACTTTCTACTTTGAAAAATTTGTGTTAGTTGTTAATTTTAGGACGAATTCTGTGTGGAAAATAAGGCTTGATGATTATTTTCTTATGTATTTAAATCTGTAATACATCACTATTTAGCAAGAGCAGCTGTACTACTGTAGTTAATCAATATTAGATACAAAACCTCAGTTATTTTGGATTTGAAAATGTTTTATTATATATTAATCCTTGATAGTTATTTTCTGTATTTAAATGTGTCATGCATTCGTCATTTTTGAAGTGTAGCTGCATATACGTGAAGAAGTTTTAATTATCATGTAATTTTCGGGAATTATGAACCGTAAGGCGGAGTCGGTAATGCGGTGCCCGTAAAGCAATTTTAAAGCACTCACCATTCAGATATCTGAATTCTAAATTTTAGATATATGGACAACAAACATTCGTAATTGTAATGAATTAATTTAGTAAAAGTTTTTATATTCTTAAAGTTCTTCTCCATTTTTACAATTTTTCGAAATGCGCAAATAAACGTCTGAGAAAAACTGAATCTTAACGACATCTAGACCAACCTACCTAGTTTAGTTCGTTATGGCAAAGCACGCGAGGAGCTTAAACCATAAACATGCTATAAGCTCGGGTGCTTAGCCGTACGCCATGAGGTGAGGGAAGTCTTCGTGGAGGTCTTTCTAAAGGAAACTGAGTCGTATCCTTGTTACACATAGGGAAAACTACGAAAATGTACATGTGGTTAGCTCATTCGTGGAGATTCGAACCTAATGTTTAATAACTTTAATTTATCCATAGCCAAGCATTGCAGTAGGCCACTGGTGGGCGATAACATTACGTGACTAGATGAATCAGTTTTCGACTGCTAAAAACATCTAATTCCGCATGCAAGTAAGCTATTATTCCGCATACAGGAAACTACCATTATCCTCATATACAGTGTCCAACAACGGCGTGCTCCGCTTTACATCCATAATCTCTATTCGTACATAAACTTGCCATTTTATGAAGTTGTAAACATAGTGCACAATCTTCTTTTCAAATTAAAAGATAACGAAAAGATACAGACTACGTAGCATTTGCAATGGTTGGGTAGTAAAAAAATAATATCATATCAGCTGATTGTTGCATGTCAACAGTTTATTTCACTTATGCAACAGCAATTTGCAGTTTTCGTGCTTGGCTAGCAATACTTAGCAACATTTTTTCACAAACGTTTTCGCAATTAGCAAATTGTTAGGACATTACAGCTTCTACAATCTACATAAATTAACCTTGTTTTGATTTAATTAGATATTTATTGGTATTTAAATTTATTAGTACGTAATTATTTTTATTGTTATTGTTGTTGTTGTAATTATTTTTATTGATCGCTGCCGATCTCCTACATTTCTGAAATATGCCCTGCTTATAGGAAATGTTACCGACTCCTGCCGTAATATATAATAATTTAGGGTTCATAGTAACAAAAGAACGGAGTTATGAGTAATTATGAAATAAGAGTCTTTATAAAATAAGAACGAAACAGAAATGGTTAAATTGAAGTGACTCAGAAATGCAAAATGCAATGCTTGGCTATGGATAAATTAATTAATTTAATAATTGTTATCATATTTTCGAATATATGTGCAAGAAATAATAATTAAATCAAAAATTGAAACTACTTTCTTGATTTAATTATTGATTTGATTATGATCTTTTAATTATTTATTTAATTTAGCAATATGCTGCGCAACTTTAATAATTTATTTTAATTTGAAATTTCTAAACTTTTGTACCGTATAAATTTGAGGTCAGTTGAGTAAGAAAATTTTTCCTTATATTTCTGTTAACTTTTTTTGGAGAAGAAAATGTATTCGCAAAGAAAATTTTAAGAATTCATATGCCTTTGCTGGCTTACCTTGTTTAATTTTAATTATTATTCATTTCGACAAAATTATTTTATTTGATTATGATTTTTGATTTGCTTGTGTTTTCTTTTGAGCTATGAACATTTAAACACCATCGAACACTAGTTGTTTGACATTGTATGTTTAAATGTCTGATAACAGCCTGATTTCTTGGGGTATTTATTCTCTTTATGTAATGTAAAAAAAAAAAAAAAAAAAAAAAAAAAAAAAGGCAGTTTACCCCAGAAAAATCTCCACAGAGGCATCCACCTCCTTGGGCAGACAAGTCTTGAGTGCTTTAGCTTAATCCTTTACTCAATCAAGAAGCCTCGAAGAATGCTGCATTTGATATGACGAAACTCCGTGCTATTCGAAAGTCCTTGTACTAGCTTTTGACTAACTATAAATGAAATGAAACACGCTGTTAAGACAGCCACAAGGAAATGAAAATACACTTAATACAATGTATGTGTTTCTTATCTGTTGGGGCCTAATTCTATATCATTCATTTGTGAATATTATTGAATTCCCAATATTGAATTAGATTCGTAAAAGACAAATTTTACGAATCTAATTCAATATTGGGATACAGAATTGAAAACGCTGTTTAAGTGTGAAACATATATATATATATATATTGTAGATATAATCTACACCCCATATTTAATTCTATTTTTTTATTTCAATTGACAAAATAAGATGTAAAACATGTGTTATTCACCTTTAGATCTGCAAACCTGATCGAGACTATGAATAGTGGATTCGGTGAACTATACATAGATATAAATATTTGTTCGTACACTGCACATCTTCGACGACAAGGTGGATTTGTAACTTGTCATGCGGTTTTCTCCTATCACCATTATATAGCCGAAATACGAGTTACATGATGTACACACGTACTTTATATTTTCCCATCTCATACGTTGCCCGAATCAGACATCGCCACATGGAAGCTGATGCTACCAAAATTATTACGATTATTTAGATGTGAAATCAAATGTATATGATCCAAATCAGATAAATGCTATATTTCCTTTTGTAATTTTCTTCAATTCTGAAGAGAAAGAATAAGAAACGACAAAAAAAGATGCAATGTTACTATTGTTTCAATGCTATATTTTTTCGTATTATGTGTTGCTATTGTTAATTTTATTATTATGGACATTCTTCTTCAAAAGATTTATAATAATAAAATTTAAGGAAAAGGAAAAAAATTGTAGATCTTCGATATCCATAATATCCTATTGTAGCTGATTGCTGGAAATGATCGCGGGGAAAAGACAATGAATTGACTTTTACTAGTTGTAATTACTTTGCGCTTTTCAGTGGAGATGAGACAACCATTTCCATTAAGAGACGCATTATTCTGTCTTTGTTATTATATGTGTGTGTGTGTATTTAATTATGGCAAAGCACACTAGGGCTATCTGCCTAAGGGGAGGGATGCCTTCGTGGAGGACTTTCTAAGGGAAACTGGCTCGTATACACGTTACACATGGGGAAAACACGAAAACGCCCATGCAGCCAGCCCGTTCGCGGGATTCGAACCTCGGACCGAACTACCAGTGTTCAGAGCGACTTTACCGCTCGGCCGCTGGTGGGCCCCTTTGTTATTATATACTGAAGATTTAATTTCGAAGAATGTTATAAACAACAGTTTTACAATTTGTAACCACTTGTGTGTTATCAATTACAGTTTTATAATTCATGTGAACTACAATTTGTATTTAATTTATCTTATAAGTGTGAAAGACGGATGGAAATTGGTAGAAATGCTCTTTCTAGAGGAGATTGATAAACATTTCCATAAAGAGACGAATTTTTTTACCTTTATCATCACATCCCAGAGATTTGACTTCTAGGATATTATATTTACATTTTATGTTCGCTTAATTTATTTTTTCGTCTTCATGAGAGTTAAAAACGAATGGGAGCTACTAAGAATGCGTTGCACTTTCTAAAGGAGATGAGACAACCACTTCCATTAAAAGACGTACTCTGCTTTTCTTATCACGTACCAGCTATTTATTTTCTAGGAAAGGCATCTTTACAGTTTATATTCGCTTAATTAATCTTTTCGTATTCATGAGAGGAAAAGATGAATAGAAGCTGCTAAAAATAATTTGCGCTTTCCAAAGGAGATGAGACAACTACTTAATTAAAATACATTTTCTGTCTTTGTTACCACATACTAGAGATTTAATTCCCAGGAAAGGCATGCTTAGAGTTTGTGACCAATTAATTTATCTTTTTTTCATAAGAGTGAAAGACAAATGGAAGTTTCTAGGAATACTTCGATATCAGAGACTATGAGACAACCTCTTTACGTTCCTGTGTTAGAATGGCGCTGAAATGGATGATGTAGTTTCGATTTTAAATATCCTTAATAAATTCAATCATTCTCTGTCTATTTAAACCAAACTGAATACATTTAATAATAAAATATTGTACGTAAACATTTAGTAATACAGATAAGCATTAAAATAAGATTTACGACCGTTACAGGTCAGCTACGCTTTTAGCGACCGAATTCTACAAACGACAAATCTCAAAAGCATGTTGCCAACGCAGGGCAACGAAAAGGTGGAAATTAATTCTATAGGCGTGGAAGTAAACACAAACATTTCCATTAAAAGACGTATTCTTCAGTCCTTTTTATCACATTCTTAACATTTAAGTTACATGAGCGGTATATTTAGAATTTGTGTCCACTTAATTTATGTTTTAACTTCATGAGACGCAAAGACGAATTGAAACGGCATTTAAAGCGTTAAATCAGGGGTCGATGTCGATCCCTTGGTGTCCATGGAAGCTGTCTAATACAGTCAATGAAATTTTGGAGATCGACGATGAGTCGTCAATAAATTTTACCAAGCAACTGAAATTCAAGTAAATGTATATCCATTTAAATTTACAT